CAGTTTATCTCTGTGTATTATATTGATGCCAAATTGACAAGTACACTGTCGACATATGATGCATTTTATCTTGTGTTTCTAGAGTTATGTGTTTGTGTGAACATGTAAGAAATTGCTAATATGTCATATTTCTTAAAGGGAGTTTGGTGTAATATTTTCCACCAGGAACAGGATGGGCAATAGTCTCAAGAGGAATCTAGTTTTAGTCTTGCAAACAGCGACCCTGCAAGATCCCCAGTCTGTGCAAAATCTTTTAGTGTGCGACTAAAAACTCAGATTGTCTTCAGATGTGAGAGGGTGTCAGAGTTATGTCTTTTTTCCCAATAGTATCCTTATTGATTTTAACAACAATAAACAAAAACATACACATACACACATCCAATATGTGTATATGTACATCCACAAACATGCAAAAGAAAATCCACCCCTCCCCCTCACCCCAAAAGTATGAATTTAAAGAAATAAAAATAGATAAAATAAAAAGAATAATAAGTGAATGAATGAGAGAGGAAATAAATAAATATATAAAAATAAGAGGCAAAAGAAAATCATTAATTACAGGTTGAGGATGGTGTTAGTGCAATGCAATACACTTCAGTTTAAGTACATGTTATATTAATGTACAAATTTTGCTAATAATTAACAGACTATAGTCTACACACATTGTTTTTAAGTACAGTGAATTTCCGGCACAGAGCTTTTATTTTGAAGTGCAGTTTCGGGCTGTAGAGTGAGTGACTAACAGACAGCTGCTTACGGAGACAGCAAACTAGCTGAACAACATGGCCAAATGCAATGTGTGTGTTCAGCTCTCAGTACGTCAAAAGTCAAAGTCAAAGTCCCACTGATTGTCACACACCTGAGTGTGTGAAATTTGTTCCCCGCCTTTGACCCGTCCCCTGAGAGAGCGGTGAGCAGCAGCAGTGCCGCACTTGGGAATCATGTGGTGATATAACCCCCCAATTCCAGCCCCTGATGCTGAGTGCCGTTTCATGTTCGATATCAGCCGTTTCAGAAGTTGTGTGAAGTTGCTGCTCGAAAACTCAAGATTTCCTTATTTTGCTACTTCAAAATAAATGTTTGTACGTAACAAAATAACAGGGGACTTTTATTGTGAAGAATCTGCAGGAAATGAAATGTGTTTATTACTGAATTAGCAAAACTTGGTGGTAGCCGCTTTTCTTCAATTAAGACAAGTGTAATGATACGACAGGGAGGAAGAGTAAAGCAGAGACAGCCACAGTGAGATGTTGATGAAGAGCTACAGACAACAGGCTCTTACTGCACCTCTGCCAACAGCTCACCTCCAACAGGTAAACTTCTTTTACCTGCTGCCCTGCTGGAGAGAAACACATGCAGCAAAAATAACAGGGGACTTTAGTCATGGATCAGCACTCAAGACAAGCCATCATAAGTTCAAGACACACCTTGAAGAAGGTGTTGCAATGCAAACCAAACCAAGCCAAGCCAAGCCAGCCCATGACTGTCGAAAAGGGGTGTATGGACAGCTACTAGCTCAAAGACATGGCCAAACACAAGTATGATTCTGAATATATTAAACTGTGTGGACCTTGAAATAATATTTACGGAGACAGTTGGACCCTTTGTTCGAGAGTATGGTCAGCAAAAATTTCTGCCTATAGATCAAGGAGTTGGCTAACATGTTTGTTACTTCAGACAACACTTAGCCTAATGATACCTGGCAGTTGGTTTTGGAAATGTCTAACGCGCAAGTTAAGTCAGCAAGTGCTAGCGGTTTGCTCATCAGCAAATACCTGGGAAGTGCATTTGTTCTAAACTACTGAAATGAAGTCATGGAAATGGGGTAAAATGTGGAAAAGTTTTAAGACTGTGGTGGTAAAGAATGTGTGGGAACATATATACTCGTCTAGCATGCATCAGAAAACAGTGACACTTACAGAGGAGCGTGACACCAGCTAGCTCAGAAGCTAAGTGCTAGATTGACACTGCAGGGTTCATGTGGTGTAACTCTGTGTAGCCGAGCTGACAGGTCTGGTTAGCAGTCAGTCTAAAGGCCTCTCAGCACCGCGGACAGCTCCTTTCACTCCATCTCTCTGTCTCTCAGTCCTTCTCTCGGCCTCTCGCTCCTTCTCTACTTTTAGCCACGGGGCACTTTGACACCCACGTCCAACTAAATGTCTGGCACGCCTGAGTTAACAGCAACTCTACCCTGGGGAACACCTCGGTCAGTGATGCCTGGTAGTGCCCCTCCTCTCTGTCTGTCCAGCTCAGCTCAGGTCCCGTCACCCACACCGAGAACTGCTCTGTTGTTGCGTCCTTCACACCGACTTAGATGTAGGTACGCAGGACAGAAAGCTTTTCATTGATTGACCTTCTCCATCCCTCGCTGCTGTCATTCTTTTCAAAAAACATCCTTTGAATTTTAGATAAGCTGTTGTACGAATATAAATATGAATTTTATTTTGACTGATGGAAGCTGACAGTCTGAAAAAACACTGCTGAATGTCTTTGTGTCTCTTTTGTTAATTTCCGTGTTGTCACCATTCCACCGGCGGCTCGGCGAGACAAATGTTTTTACTGTGCGATTGGAGTCTCTCCAGGCCAACACTGGGAAGGCTGGCGCATAATTCGAGCAGTCACCCCATAATTCGATCCCTCCATTTGCATACGCTTGTAGCGTCCCAGTGGGAAGACGGTGGCAGCACTTGAAAGACAGGAAGAGGAGAAATTGAATCAGGAAGATGGAGTGTGCACCTTGTTTTTTTCATGCTCCTGTGAATTAGACTATAGTAACAGCGCTGGGGCATATGTTTCATTATTCTGTGAGCATGTTGTGCTTTTCACTGATTGTTACCTTTCATCATCTGAGATAGATTTCTGGGTGTTGTGTTTGAACAATGCCGTGAACAGCACAGACGCGGCGTCCCTTGTTAAAGGTCAAAGCCAGATGAATGGGAAAGTCAAAGGAAAACGTGTGCCCTTTACCTCGCTGCGCTGTATTACAAACTGAAACCAGTTCATTGTGAGGTGTAATCATTCTGAACCTACTTACGTGAAAGCTTTTCAACTGCCTTTTCATCACCACTGCCGAGGCCCCTGACAGATCAATGAGAGATTCACAAATACCTCTTGTGGTAACAGTGAGAGGGGAAAACAGTCCTAACAGGAGCTGATGTGTGATGACGAGATGGAAGGTCTCAAGGTGCTCACAGGAGATGTGAGGTGTCATAAGGACACAAAAGACGGATGTGGTGCCTACATTTACATTTACATGCACACCAATGTGCCACTGTTATTCTGAATGAAGCATAGGATATGCTGGTGTTTGATCAGGTTTTAGGAGTGTTCTTTAGACGTGTACAACACATTCAGAATGTGCATCTCAGTTGGGGTTCTTAACACCGTTTGTGACCCACAGCCTCTTGCTTGATTGATACCCAAATTTTCATATGCTGTGTTGCCAGTTGAGTGGTGAGGCGGGTGGGGGAAACAGGGGTTGGTAACAGAACAGGGTTTTTCAAGTAACCAGTCAGTAGGTTACATCCCTTTGTGTATACTTGTGTATAAGGGGGGCTTGCCTGTAGCTACCTCTGTGTGATGGCTTCCTTGCTCACTGCCAGAAGTACTTTGTAAAGGTATTTGTCCTGAGTCATGTGAGGGCAGAATGGAGCATCAGTGGTTTGATGCGGCTTCTGCAGTGATGCAGGCACTGCACCAGACCATCGTGGTGAAGAGGGAGCTGAGCCAGAAAGTGAAACTTTCAATTTACTGGTCCATCAACGTCCCGACCCTCACCTATGGTCACGAGCTCTGGGTAGTGACCGAAAGAATGAGATCCCTGGCTGGGCTCAGCCTTAGGGGGCGATCACACAGAAATGAGATGCCAGAAACACGGACGCTTCAAAGACGCTTGAAACACTGGAAGCACTTAATCAATGCGCACTAGCTACTGGCATCTGACGCTCAAAAAGTTGAAAATATTTTAACTTTTCACTGTCTAAAAAGAAGTGTCTACAAAAACGCGCATCTAAAAAGACGCTTGAACACCGGTCAGACGCACCGTATCATAGGAAAACAATGGTTTTACTGGCATGGCATTTCATCTCGGTGTGATCACTCCCTTAGAGATAGGGTGAGGAGCTCGGACATCCGGAGGGAGCTTGGAGTAGAGCCGCTGCTCCTTTGCCTCGAAAGGGGTCAGTTGAGGTAGTTCGGGCCTCTGATCAGGATCCTCCTGGGCGCCTCCTGTTAGAGGTGCTCTGGGCACATCCAACTGATGGCCCCGGGGCAGACCCAGAACACACTGGAGGGTTTCATATCTCATCTGGTCTGGGAACGCCTTGGGGTCCCCCAGTACCTTAATAAATTCGTGGAGCACTTGTTTCAAGGGTCAATATTATTTCACTTAGTGTTTGTTTCTTGTTTCTACTACTCTGCTAGTGGCCAAAAAATCTGTTAATTCGGGTTTTATCTTTCTTTCATGATATATAAACAGTTTTCTCAATGCAGAACATGTCAGATCTCCTAAAACCCCCAAACAGATCATAAATCCACACACTAATAATCCTAATCACTGCTGGAAAAGATGAATTCATCGCTTCCTTTATTGGCTAATATCATTTTCCCCAGCTGTCGATCGCTTTCTGTCATGTTTACTCACGTCCATCATTTCTGTATCAAGACATCTCATATTGTGTTCAACATGCTTCTCGGCTCTTTTTTAATCTCTCTGTCTTTACAATAAGATATTTATTTGCCATCTTGTGCTCTGTGCTTTTATCTCCTTTGAGTCAGTTTTGCTTTTCTTTGTCCTTCCTACCATTCCCAAAAACTGTTTTCATGTCACGCTCTTATTTTTCATTTGCTTTATCTGTAATTCAGTGTTTTTATTCATTTTGTGTTCCTCATAAACCCCCCCCGGATTTGGCTTCCACAGCTGAAATTAAACCTCACATCTCATGATCTGTTTCTACCATCTTTTTCAGTCTAAAGCATTTTTTGTTCTCTCAACATTGCAGGTCACTATTCACCCTGGAAGACCCCTAAGCAGGTAACATCCACCAGCCTCCAAAACTCAGACTGTCCCCCCATTTCTGCTTTTTAATCAGTAGATTGTCACTTTAGCACCAATGGCTGCCGTGTGAATAGTGTATGTGCTAATCCAAATGACTTTAATCTTTTATTTTACTCGTTTGTAAGATCTACAAATGACTTTTCAACCCCTCCCCTCGCCGTACTAACTACTGATGATTCACTACATGTTTGTGGCTTGTATAACAGCTGGCCCTTGATATTCAGCCCTTCTTTATTGTCACAGGGTGAGGAAAGGTCAAGTGGGCCACTCATAACATCACTCATCTCTTGATCCTGCAAGTCAGAGCTAATTCATAACCTGACTCAGTGCCATCAGGGTTATCCACACTGAGGGCATTTGAATTATGCTGCAGCTACAGTGTTGCTGTTCAGACTGCTTTAGCATGGCCCACACTCATTTTCATCCTTTCTCCATCTTCTTTTTACAATAATTTTGCAATTTTTTAAAAGCTTTTGTTGCACTTTTGTACCACCATGCATTTGCTCCCTGCTCATTTATCTTTCAGCTTGTCTTTATTTCCTTTTGTCACATTAAAGGTCCAGTGAGTAAGATTTAGGGGGATTTAGTGGCATGTAGCAGCAACCATCCTCTCCAAAACAAACAGACCTGGTGATTTAAACTGGTAAAAACAAGGAAAAAGTAGTTTCACGTTACAAATCTGTGTTTCGCCAATGCTGATTGGCATGTCTGAGACGAGCCGCTAGCCCAGTAACTGCTTATCTGTGCTGACCTTTTTTCTCTGATAACTTAAGATCCAGGTGTTCAGGAGGTTTTACCACGAGCCAAATTATCTGCAGAGGTCTCTTCCTCTCCAAAACAAACAGACCTGATGGCATACACTGGCAAAACCACTGAATAAAACAGCTTCATCTTAAAAAAATTGGTGTTTGAGGTGCTCAATAGCTCAATGGGTAGAGGGGTCCCAATTAAAAGGGCAATGTCCTTGTGGCAGCGGCTGCAGCACAGGTTCGATTCCAGCCTGTGGCCCTTTGCTACATGTCATCCCTTCTGTCTCTCCCCTTTCACGCTTCATGCTTGTTAAATAAAGGCATAAAAGTCAAAAGATAATTAACAAAAATAATAATAGGTGTTTTTCAGTCATGGAGGGGCTGCTTACTATGGTGGCTGATGCAACAATGCAAATGCCCCTATCTAGAGCCAGTGTTTGATTTGTCTGTTCTGAGCTACTGTAGAAACACGGCAGTGCAACATGGCGATCTCCATAAATAAGGACCTGGGGCTGGTTGCATAAAGCACCTTCAGTTAAGATTTTCCGTAAAATCTGATTTAAAGTTTCCTTTAAATAAAATCTGTTGCTGTTAACCACCTGGAAAACGTGAGGTCAGGTGCTGGGCGCTGCTCTTGTGCCTTTTTTGTGCCAGCTTTCAAGAGCGCGGCAGCAGGTTGCGTCTGAGGTTGCGTAGCATCCTTAACCAGCACCATATAGCCTATTTACCTGACATCCTGAGTGCAGAGCTGATCTTCCAGGCGCTGTTTATATGTGTGTAGGCCTATCGTCTGTGGGACAGATGTAAAGCTTTGGGTAGCCCTGCACTAAGGGGGCGATCACACAGAAATGAGACGCTAGAGACACGGATGCTTCAAAGACTCTTGAAACACTGGAAGTGCTTATTCAATGCGTGCTAGCTACTGGTGTCTGACGCTCAAAAAGTTATAAATATTTTAACTTTTCACTGTCTATGTGCGTCTAAAAATGAAGAAAGTAGCGTCTACAAAAACATGTGTCTAAAAAGATGCCAGAAAAACGGCCATCTAAAAAGACGCTTGAACACCGGTCAGACGCGCCGTATCATAGGAAAACAATGGTTTTACTGGCGTCGCGTTTCAAGCGTTTCATCTCGGTGTGATCGCTCCCTAACATGATCAACTTATCCATATTTATCAGACTGATTTTTTTTTATTTTTCTGCGACTAAACGACCAATGAAATCTTTCCGACTAATGACCTTCCTGGTCAACTAGCGTTTCGTCGACTGTTAGGGGGCAGCCTGAATGGTCACCCATGTCGTTCATGGCTAATGACACCATTCAGAAATTCTGCCAACAGATCTTGGGCAACTGGTCTTAATATCCAAACTGTACTAGTGTAACAATTGCAGGGGGTATTTACCTCTATTTTACTCAGTGTTTTTATTCACTTGTCTTTTCACTAGATATTCACTGAAGGTTATTTGCTGCATAGACTGACCATTTAATCAAAAGGATATGTCATGTTTGTTATAATTGGAAAAACCCCAATAAATTATTATTTAAGAAACTAAATTGATCAGATGCATGTGTGACCTTAAATCAAAATTAATTAAATGTAATATTTAGTGATAACTGCAATGCTATCACAAGAAACAGTAAAATGTTACAGCTATAAAATCTCTTTCAGTGCAGTAAATGCCTTAACGTCTTCCCTTGACTAAGGATACCTTTTAAGAGACTCTGTGCCAACACCCTTAAGTACTTTAATCTAAGCTAAGGAAAAACTAAACCTTAAGTGTCATACTTAAGGAGCAAACTTAAGGTGCTTTGTACAGCCGGCCCCTGCTCCCTATGTGGATATAAACAGCTCATTCTAAGGTAACGAAAACACAAAGATTCTGATTTTCAGGTGATTACACTAAAGAAAACATCCTTATATTCCATTTCTGCATATATATCACTCTGAATCCTTCACACTGGACCTTTAAGCATATGTATTATCTCTGCAAACTCACATTCGACCTCTCCTCCCGCTGCCTCCGCCGCCATAAATACTCCACTATCATCTGCTGTCCCTGAGCACATGAAAACTCCATACACCAAGCACCCCCTTTTAGATCAGATTCACTTTGTCTTTATGTGTATTTGTCACACTCACATGCCTGCACACGGGCCTTTCCACCCATCTTTCTTTGTTTCTCTTTGTGCGACTATGTGTGTAATCCATTTCATGCCTGGACGTCCTCCCAGCGCTGCTCTGACCAGCACCTGACCCCGGCTCATGTTGTCATCATTCCAGATCAACACAGGAAGCCTGCTTTGTGCGGCTCCGTCGACACTTGTCCCCTGAAATTGGCCTCATTGTTTGTCATTTCTGCTCCCTCTCGATTTAATCAATCTCCGCCATTTCTGTCAGAATAATTGTAATTCTCAGCTCTGAGGGGGAAAAAAAGCCTTGAACGTCACAAACTAGCAGACGCCATGCAGAGTTTCTCTCCCTTGTCTTGTCTGCTCACATCTCACTCTCTCTTTACCCCCCAGTGTTCATTTGTTGGCTGCCCCACCCTGCTCTGCCCCTCTCCCCCAGCTGCTGAGCCCCCCACACACCAGAGTTCAGCCTCAGTTTAATTGGGTATCATTTGTTGCAGGAAGACTTGTGCAGCACTGAGAATGAAATATGGAGGAATTTGACTAATAAGGGAAGAACGGGGAGTCGCCTAATTGTCATATCGACCTACAGTCAAGCTCAGCCCGCAGCTCCCGAGAGTTTCATTTGCAAATGAGCTTATCGAGATTTGTCTGTCAAATCTTGCCAATACTGTACGTAACAGCTACTTAATGTTGGAGCACATTACTCAATGATGTTGTCTCATAAAGAAGACCTGCCTGCAGTGTCCTCTATTCATCTGACCAACTAGATTATAGGCACAGTGTGCTTGCTTGAACAGTCTTAATCAAACAGACAGAGGGGGACGGAGGGAAAGGGAAAGAGAAATCAGGATGCAGCAGTCTAATCCGAGCCTTAACAAGGTCTCCAGTCTCAGCAGCCTGCCCCATGCAGACGTGCTTCACATCAATAGCAGACACCAATGAAACCACAAAGAGTGGAAACACTTTTGATTCCGTCCCAGTGCTTTTATGAAGCTGATATTTATTCTCGGTACATCTCGAACCAGATGCCCTGTAATTCTCAATATTAAAGCGTGCCATATGCAGCCAGTCTCACCGTCTCAGTTTCAAAAAGCCTGTTGCTCCCTGCGGATCCGTCTCTCACTCTTTCTGACATGTCAACATGTCATCTTGGCTATCTGCTTAGTGTCACGCTGTGACTCAAGCGGCCTGACTTATCTGACACATCAAGGCTGACACTGTGACTGACTGGTGTTGTCAAAACTGCCGGTGTCACCTCAAACACTTTACAGTACATTTCCAGATTTGTTTTATCCACATTTAGATGTAAATTGGGGATAATATAGAAAGTACTGCCTTAACCGCAGTCTGTAGTCCCGACTGCGACCAAGAGGGTTGACACTGTGACCTCTTTCTGCAGCCCATTCGCCAGAAGAATATGTTGGCATTGTGTGTTTCTGCAAACCACAAATAAGTTACATTTATGCATTTCATACTCATCATATTAAGGATTTTAAAGTGACGTAATAATTGTAAGTCAGAGCCGGAGGGAAGTTAGATGGCATGTCACCTAGGCCAGATGCTTACCAAGCTGCAGACCACTGAAGGCCGCTGTTAGAGGCCAATAATCAACAAAAGCAAGGAACCTGGTGGTGTGTTTTCGTCAGCTTTTTAAGTACAAAAAGCAGTTGTTTTCTAAGCAAGATATTGCTGCTTTCTCTGCTGGGATAGTGGCACTAAAAGCACTTGTAAATTTATCAAGACAAAGCTGCCTTTCCGGGGTCTGCCCATTGGTCCGACATCCCATTGTTCCGACCATATTAAACCCATTGTTCCGAAGTCCCGTTGTTCTGAAATCATCACGATGCTCTGTGGTTAAGGTCTGGTTAGGTTTAGGCACAAAAACCACTTGGTTAGGGTCAGGAAAAGATCATGGTGTGGGTTAAAATGAAAAAGAAAGTGGCAAACACATAAGCCGTGAGCCTGCTTCGCCTCAAGCCTTTCCCAGCTGACCCAGAGCCGGTCGCAGCGCACCATCAAGGCAGAAATACGCCCGCCGGGAGCCGTTCAGCACCGCGGAGAGCTCCCCACACAACCCCGACCCCAGAGTTAATAACAGGAGGTTATAGTGTTTCACTCTCTTCTCTCTATGGCACTTGTATCTCGACCAGTAGCCTACTTTTGTTGCGTTGCTGATCCTCTGTGGTACACAAATACAGTATAGCCTAGTATAATCACGTATCGGAACAATGGGACATCAGACTAATGAGAGGTTGGAACAGTGAGAGGTCGAAACAATGCTATGGCACCTGCTTTTCCTGCCTTGATAGTGGCAAAAAAAATCTGTTGTTTTTTGCTAAAATTTTCCAGCTGGTATAGTAGTACAAAAAGTGATTGGTTTTTTACCAAGGCATCACTGCATTTCCTGCCAGGATGGTGCCATCAGAAGCAAGTATTTTAAGCCATAATGTGTCTCCAGCAGCTTAACGTAGGTGTTCTGTAGGGACCTAGTGGTGTGTTTTCATCTGCTTTTTTGGCATGAATATCAGTTGTTTTTTATCAAGACATTACTGCTTTTCCGGCTGGTACAGTGGCACCAAAAGCAAGTATTTCAAGCCAAAACGTGTTTCCAGCAGCTTTTAGGCTCTTAACGTAGGTGTGTTTTCATCATTTTTTTAGGCACGAAAAGCAGTTCTTATTTCATCAAGACATCGCTGCTTTTCCTGCCAGGCTAGTGCCTAACCGTAACCAAGTGGCTTCTGTGCCTAAACCTAACCAAACGTTATACACTGCATTTGAGAAACTTAAAGTTTCAACGTATCCGCTACATGAGAACATGCAAATTTAACGCATCCGTGGTTTGCAGTCGCATACAATGCCAACATTTTTCTGGTAGTCGAGTACATCATCGGTGCCCCTGCTGGCACTTGAAGCCCTACACACAGCGCTTGATGCGCATGTACGTAGCGGTGTAAAACTTTACGAAACAATCCATTTTGCTGATTAAGTGTTTCAAAAATGAAGCATTCTGTAGTTGGTTATTTTAAAAGCCAATTGAAAAGAGAGAGGAGGAGGCTGGTGTGGAGGGAGAGGTGAGAGGTTCAGACTGAGCCAGTGAAGAAGAAAAAGTACCACTTTCAGGCACAATGGCCAACACATTACTCATGGCTGCAGCACAAGGGTAAAGCTATACTGTGTGTATTGTAGTCAATGTGGCACGTCCATTACAGGCAACTCTTAATTTGTTACCGGGTCAACACAGTTTAAGCTTGAGTTACGAGTCGCCGTCAATCTTTAAATCAATGCAGAACTAAGGGATGCAAACTGTTTATCAGCCTGCATGGTCATTAATTAATACCAGGCTGTATCAAAAAAAGGGTGCAGCCAAATCATGTGTTGGTGTGACCAATCGAGTGGAAAAGTTAATCTGGAGCTCTGCCTTTAACAGAGTAGCCAATAGGATCATTAAAAAATGCAGCCATCCTCTCCCTTCCAAACCAGGGCCATATTTATCTGTTTATCACAGTCTTCTTTATGTTTCCTCTCCATACACACACACATCCCTGACACACACACTGAGATTTAAAAGACAAACAAAGGGTGGAATTGTTTTTGCTTGTTTCAACAACTAACCTCACTAACCGTCTGGCTTCCCGTCTGTCTAACATGACTTGATCGTTCGCTAAACCCCACTCCCAAACAGGCCATTGTCCAATCATAGCTTAGCAACTGTTACTAGGCACGGCAGACCTGTCAAGCTTTGGGTTTCTCCGAATTCAAAACAGAAGAGGGCGATAGAGCGATGCCTAAAGAGGGAATAGAAGTTAAAAAGCATTCTGGGGCAACACTGCCTTTTTTGAGGATAAGTTAAAGGAAGAACCCCAGGTTGATATCAGTATAGGTAAATATCTCCTCATAAGGTATATTTTAGACTCCAGGAAATCAAATGGTATATTTCTTAATCCTTACAAGGCCAGAAGCCCTGAGGTGTCCCTGGATGATTGGAGAGGAGTTCATGTTTATGCAAACAGTTCAACTCAGTACATAGAAAGTAAATAGGATAGTTATAGAAGCTGATATGAAATTGCTCCAGGATGACTTTTTCTTTAGCTTACTATCGCCCTCGTTCCCACATCAAAAAATATATGGGATTTTTCAGTTGACCTTTTGCTGGAGGCCACACTGTCACTAACTGCACTCCCTGAAGATATATGATCATATTTTTGGAAAAATGAACCAGTGATTGCAGAGAGAAGCAGACAGAGGGGTCTACAGTCTGTGTTTGAAGGATATATCCAGGATGTCAAACTGACTCAGCAGCAACAACAGGTTAAAAAGACAAAGATAGTTAGAAGCTAAAGCCGAACTATAGGCTACAGATCACAGTGTTAAAGTGAACCACCACATCACTGCTGATTGCCACACAAGACAATGAATATAAAGGGACACTTTGCTGATATTGAACCAGCTGTGTGGCATCACAGTGTGTGCAGATGAACTGCGTTTGCACACTGTGATGACACAGAGCTGGTTGAATATCAGCAAAGTTTCCCTGCTTCCCTTCACTGGTTCCTGTACAGCAGGGTTGGTCTTTGTTTCACTGTTATAATCATCAAAAAGCAAAAGCAGCATGTGTATACATTCAGTAGGCTATATCTTCAGTAGCTAGCTAGCTAACCCTACACTTTTCAGGGTTTGATTTTGGTTTTGGAACAGGGAAGAAACGTATATCTTTTTCCAATCTCTCCAGGTAACGAGTATCATTAATACACGACGTGCCCCAGTCACAACATTTATCTCCAAATCCACAAAACCAGCCTGAAAATGAAGGAAATCTGAAATGACTGCATTAGAGTCAATGGAGCACAGCTGTGTTTTATTGAATTTATCGGTAATACTGTACTCAGGGTTTGTAAGAGCAATGCTGCTCCTCTGTTTCCATCTCTTATGGATCAGCAGTGGTGAGGATGGTGACTTTTAGCCTTGAAGCTTTAGCCTCTATTATTCAGCAGTTGACCATGTATGTAGCCCCATGTGCATATTTAAGGTCCTTTGACAGGCTTTTCATTTTTAAACTAATCCGCTGGACATAAAAAATTCAGCAGGAGACAGTTTTCAACCAGCTAGCTAATGGAATTTTAGCGGTAGCATTACCACTGGTAAAAGAGTTATTTCAACAAAATCCATGGTCATCAGCTAGAAATAAGAAGCTTGCATTCATTTCAAATATTACTGCGAATTTTAATGATTGTACTGTGACAAGTGTACTGTGTGAGAACTAAAGGCTTGACAGGAGTGACAGTAAGCTAACTGAGAGCGATGGGGATTAGCGAACAGTCAGAAGTCTTTAAAGCAAACTGCTTCAATTTTTCCTGTTGTTGTCATGGTTTCCGATTTAGCATCGAGTGTCACAAGTGGGAAAGGTGCCAGTGAAATATTGACCCCCTCATGCCGCTGTGCTTTACAGGTACTGGAGCAGTGGGAGTCCCAGCAGGGCCAGAGCAGCCCTGCTCAGACCAGCCTGTCCGCCCCCATTATCCCCCACAGCGCCCCCTTCCCAACACACCATCTCCACAGGGCCTCGGTCCCAGACTCAGCCTCCGAGGCCTTGGCCCTGGCTAAACCCGACCCCTATGACCTTTATGAGAAGTCCAGGGCTATCTATGACAGTAGGCGTAAGTACCAGAGCTGTTGCTGCAGGTGTAGCGCTGTGACAAACACTCCTCTCTTTAGCACTCAAGAAAGATGGAGTCCTCGTTGGAAGGTGGAGTCATGAAGATTCATCACTCTTTGTCTTTCTCTCACAAACACACACAGATTCCTTTTTAACTCTCTGAAGCTCCTCAGAAACTTTCAAAGCTTGTTTAAATGATCCGACCTTTTTCAAACTGAATTTTCAGCCCTCTGCTTCACACAGTCAGACGTTTCGTAGATATTCTCCCCTCACAGCGTCTGCAGCCACTAATTCCTCATATTATCTCATTTGATCCTTGCTCATTAAATGCCCACACAAGCCAACACACACACACACACACACACACACACACACACAGAACCTGCCAACAGCTCAGTCTTTTTACTCACTTTACATCCAGACTTTGACATGCTGCCAGCTCACATCATAAACGCAGATGTGTTCATGAATAAACACTCCACGCAGCAGCTGATCTTTTTGCGACATAATGCCTCGGTGCCAGCTATATTACCGTCCTCTGACTTGTAAAACGTGGAAGAAGTCATTTCTTGTTATGATATCGTCAGGATGTATCATAAAAACTCTAATGCCCTGTTGGACTTTTTGGCAGTAGCAACTAGTATATATGTTTTTATATGGGTGTGCGTGCGTGAGTGAGTGTGTGAAGTGCTGTAACAAGGATATAGGTAGATTTTTTTAACATTATTTAATGGTACAGACCAGGGACCGTATTCATAAACATTCTGAGAACACTCTCTGAGAGCTCCTACCTTAGCCTAAAAACTTTTAGTAAGGAGTCCTAGCTCAGGAGTGATTTAGGAAAGTTCTCGGAGCAACTCTGAGCAAGGAAGGGACAGAAACTTTTACCTTAGTGAGGAGGTCTGGTTGACACCTGTTACTAGGTCTTTTAGCAGATGTGATTGGTTGTCACAGACACGCCCTTTTGTGAGCTTCCGAGGTGTGGACACCTGTTAAGGTGATCACTCTGCTGATCAAAGTTTGAGGCAGACACAAGGCGGGGCATGAAGATGAGACACAAGGAGAAACGAAACAAGGAAATATGTCTTTAGATAAATGAGACTTTTTTTCCTCTGAAGCATCACGTGAAGCGACTTCCATTTGTGATGACAACGGCAGCTGATTACAGCCAGGTCAAGTGATCGAGGATCGAGGAGTCGAGGAGGGATATTACGATGAACCCTTTCACCTTAGTGAGGAGGTGTGGTTGACCCTGTTGCTAGGTGTGACACAGTCTTTTAACAGATGTGATTGGTTGTCACAGACATGCCCTTTGTGAGCTTTCAAGGTGTGGACACCTGTTAGTGTGATCACTCTGCTGATCAAAGTTTGAGGCAGACACAACTTATCACTACTGGAGTGTTGCATCTTTCCAGTTTTCCAAATATGTTAGTGTTGTGACCATTTTGTTTGGAGCGTGATAGCGTTATTGGGTTGGGTGGGAAATGTGTGCATATCCCTAATGAGATCGACCACAAACATTATTCCTGCACGATCTGGGGCTGTATTCACAAACATTCTGAGAACACTCTCAGAGAGCTCCTAACTTAGCCTTCTAGTAAGGAGTCCGAGCTCAGGAGTGATTTAAGAAAGTTCTCAGAGCAACTCTGAGCAAGGAAGGGACAGAAACTCTGGGTTCATCCCAATGCCGAATCTCATATCCATGTTTCCCTTACTTGCGTCCCTTCCTTGCGTCTTAGCTCTGCCCTCGTAGGACACGGGGGGGATGCAAAGATGAGACGCGAGGATAGAAGAAACAAGGAAATATATCTTTAGATAAATGAGACGTTTTTCCTCTGAAGCAATGTCCGTTTGTGATGACAGTGGCAGCTGATTACAGCCAGGTCAAGTGATCGAGGATCGAGGAGTCGAGGAGGGATATTAGGATGAATTGGTGAGGAGGTGTGGTTGACCCTGTTGCTAGGTGTGACACAGTCTTTTAACAGATGTGATTGGTTGTCACAGACACGCCTTTTTTGTGAGCCTGCAAGGTGTGGACACCCAGTGGAAAGGAAATGAACTGCTGATGTCAAAGTGTTGTCATTGTTAGTGTGATCACGCTGCTGATGGAAGGTTGAGACAGACCCAAGTCATCACTGCTGCACTGTTGTATTTTTCCAGTTTTCCAGATATCTTAGTGTTGTGATTATTTTCTTTCTGGTGTTATAGCTTTTAGGTGGGAAATGTGTGTGTATCCCTAAAAAGCTCCACCACACATATTCTCCCTGCCGACGTCATCTATAGCGTTTCATTTACCCAGTGTCATCCAGAGTTTGGAGAACATTTCTCTGACCTGTTTGTGTTTCCACCATTTTCTCTTTCTCTTCTCTTAAAAGTCCTCGTCCAAGTCTGTGCTCTGTGAATAACTGTTATTTTAACAAAGCCCTGGTCTTAACTTTAAGGGGAAATGCTTCGAAGACATCATAATTCTTTTCTCAGAATTTCATCACTAGGAGCAACTCTTAGTACAAGGAAGCTTTGTGAATATGGCCCCAGGTCTGTTAATGGCAGCTATAAATATGATTAAAAATATGAATGTAATCTTGTTTGCATGTAGAGCGTGTCAGCACGAGGCTTGTAGATTTCTGTCGATTCCTTTGAGGTGGTCGTGACTGACATGAGATAGTAAAAGTTTTCACTGACAGGACTGGTGTTTGTTCTTATGTAAGGCACCTGTTATTCATGAGGACGTGGCTGTCAGAAAGTCTCCTCGTCAAACCTCTGAGTCTCTCTGAACCTCTCATCGTCTGTCTGTCTCTCTGTGGATACAGTGATCAGTGTAACGTTCACATCAGTGTCTTCCTTACAGCATATACATATATAGGGGTTGTGTGTGGTGATGTTCAGGAGGGAATAGGCAGACACAGATTTTGGGAATGCTCCGTTTGCTCCTCTTGCTGGTGAGGGTGAAGCAGGCTGGCAGCACCACAACCCCAAGCTGGCGGCCTCCTGGTGGAGCAGTGTGAGCAAACTCTACTAATGTTGGTACATTACACAATTTTCTGTCAGCCTTAACGGATTGTCAGCAAAACAAAACATTTCCTCACAAGCTGTAGAGGTAGATAGTTTTGGGTACTTTCCACTGAGGGAAGAGTCCCCATTAAAACTGTCCACAGTGTGGTTTATCCAGAGTAACGGAACAGAGATGTGTCTATTGTGGATGGCAGATTTTTCAGAGATAGATCCAAACTATCAGCTTGGCTGGACCCACAAGAGGTGAGTCAGAATAATATTTTTTGTTGAGGTGCACCAACCCTTTCAATGTTCCTTCATTATGCAGATAAAGGCACATGAGAGAGCTGGCATCAGTGTCGAGTCAGTCTTTTCATAACGTACCAACCCTGGTTAATGCAGCAGTTCAAAAAAGCACTTTGTTATTGTCTCCTTAGATTTCAGTCTGGATGTTTCTGTCCTTGTTGTTTCCTTTGCTCTTCAGTAACCTTGGAAACAGCTGTTTACAAACCAAACTCACCTTGAGGTCCATTTAGTGGCTGGAACTTTCCATCATATGTCGTAATCTTCATCAGCAAATGAAAATTATTCAGTCAGAGCACCACACATGAGATATGTTGAGAAAATACACATCTTACAATTTAGTTACAGTTACAATAGTTTGATGCTTTCAAAGCAAAATGTAATCTTTTCCTCATTACCTGGATGGTCATGTGTGTTTTTTTAAAGGGACAGTTCCAGAATCAAAAATACATATTTTTCCTCTTGTTTATCAGTCTAGATTGTTTTGGTGTGAGTTGTGAGTGTTGGAGATATCGACCGTAGAGATGTCTGCCCTTTCTCCAATATAATGGAACTAGATGACGATCATGGCGTCAATGACAGTGTTCAAGGAGCCAAACTTTGGTGTCATTCTATGTGAGTCAAAGAGGTTGGCACTGCATATCACACTTTAACTTATCATATCTATATTGTTTCAGCTTTGACTGAAAAATCCTTCCACCACATTAAAAAACACACATTACATGATGCTAACTGACATGTTTTAATCTAAATATGCACGTTTGTTTTCCTGTTATTGGTGTCCAAACAGATCATGGCTATATCCAGCGGCTGCATCTCAGCCTCTGCTGGATATAGCCATGATCTGTTTGGACACCAAAAGTCTGGCTCATTGGATATTGTCACTGTCACCATGACTATTCCTTTATAATTTCAGTGATGCTACTCAAAGCAGCAATGTCTCTTTCCAGAAATCATGACCCGGTTACTCAAGATAATCCGCAGACCTTGTTGTGAGCAGTTTCATGTAGGAACTTCTCGCTAACATTGCAGTTCAGCAAAGGAGGACGCCATTAATGTTTACACCTTGTGCTGTCACGAGCTTCTTGACCTTGAGTAGATGCACACTTCCTTCTGCACTTTGATGCGGTTGGTGGGTGTAGTTTGGTAGTCTAGATTGTCAGTCTAGATTGTTTTGATGTGAGTTGCAGAGTGTTGGAGATATCGGCCGTAGAGATGTCTGCCTTCTCTCAAATATAATGGAACTAGATGACACTCAGCTTGTGGTGCTCAAAGCGCCAAAATATACATTTGAAAAACTCAACAGCAATTTCTCTTTCCAGAAATCATGACCTGGTTACTCAAGATAATCCACACACCTTGTTGTGAGCAGTTTCATGTAGGAACTATTTTTTTTCTACTGTACTACACCTGCCAACTATAACACCGCGCAGAAGGAAGCGTGCATCTACTCATGGACAAGAGGCTCATGACAGCTTGATGGTGTACTCCATGACTGAGCTGTAACGTTAGCTAGCTCAGTGGTGCTAAGTGAGCTAAAAGTAGATGCACACATCCTTCTGCATGGTAACCAGGTCATGATTTCTGGAAAGAGACATTGCTGTTGAGTTTTCAAATGTTTGGTTTTTTTTTTGGTTCTAAGTGTCATCTAGTTCCATTATATAGGAGAGAAAGCAGACATCTCTACGGCTGATATCTCCAACACTCTGCAACTCACACCAAAACAATCTAGACTGATAAACAGCACTACAGGGAGGGGAAATGTGTGCTTTTGATTTGGGAGTGAACTGTCCCTCTAAAGTGTGTAGTTCACCAGTTGACTGTGTGATCCTCTGATTGAATAATTGAACTAATAACTGTTTATATAAATGAAACAGCTGTGACGTCTGACCTTACATCTGGTGTGTGGTAGCTTGAGTAGACCAAAACAGATTAATAAATGCACAAGCAGTGAGTGAGTCAGGAGTTTCTTCATTCGTATGCTTGCACCTGTCGCACATTAAGATTTGCAGGGATTTTATTTTAAGAAAAAAAAAGCAAATGAAACATCTGCAAATCTTGATTACTGAGCAAGCTACATCTAGTGATAAAAAATGACATGACATGATTGAAAGCTTATGAATGGCTATAAAACGGACCTTGAGGTGTGATTAATTTGTCAGTATTCGTTTTTTGCCTTTCAAAAGAATCGTCTTAAAGTCACTTTGACAAGATCTTTGACTGCAAAAAGTCTAAAATATCTGCATGCATACTCTCCCATGTTCATCAGCAGACCCAGCTAAATGTCTGTAAGAAGCACTATATATGGTTTCCGTGGAAACAGCTGTGTCACTCCTCCTGTCTGTCTGTCATGATTTTCTTTGTCCCCGCCGAGCCCAAGCCGAGCACTCAGTGTGATTAAAACAGTTACAATTGGAATCAATTTTTCATTTGCAGCCACTTGTCTGCGTTCGAGTTCATTCTGCTACTTTGCACATCACGGTGTTGTGTGAAGCCGCTGATTGCAGATCAGTGCCTGACTCTCACCTCACACTGTAAATAAGGGACGGGTATATTACACGCTGTAAGCACTTCCTGACTTTTATGGATGATGCTGAAATTCTGTGGTGACATTAATGCTGAGGCAGAGCCTTTCTGCCTTGTTCTAGTCTTTATGGGAGAATGTGTGTGTGTGTGTGTGTGTGTGTGTGTGTGTGTGTGTTTTTCTGGTGTGCTGTCTGTGTGTGCGTTTGTGGGTGTATGTAAAATATTTGTGCATTTGTTGTTGTTTATGGCTGCTTCTTGCATCTTTTTTTTTTCTAGAACCTGGCCAACCAAGGACAGTTTTTCCTGTGGACTCCTCAGGTACAAATCTCATCTCTGCAGTCACACTAGCTGTGTTTCCATAAACATATTTTTATGCGCATTTTGAGGTATCGCATTAGGAAATCTTTATGTAAACAATGAATTTCGATAAAACTTTCTCAGCTGTGCAGAAAAGTTTTTACACTCTCTGGAGGTGGTTTGTGCCTTTATTAAAAAAGAGTTGATGCACTAAATGGGATATGGCAATGCTCTGACCAAATGAGCTCTGATGTAGGAAACTTTTACTTTTTTTAACTTACTATTTTTACTTACTTTTTTCTGGCCTACACCATTGTGGGCATTTATACTTGTGTGGTGGTGTGTCTGTGTCACTCTGCAGTTACACCTCTAAAACACTAGTCGACAGTGGTGTTTCTGTGAAGTGCTGAAAAGTTTAGTTGATTCAAAACACACATTAAACACACATTAAACATGGCTTAATAGAGACAATTTCAAACACAAGTACACAGATCGGCTTCACTATAACTCGCAGCATTCACAGACAAACACTTGTCTTTATCTGGACACATTTTCCCCACAAATACAACATGCTAACATTATTAGCACAAGCCTATGGCATTTTACATTGTATAAATTAGCTCAGCGGCTAGCGGACCTTTCCTCTACTCATATGAAGCCAGGGACAACAGCAACATTTAACAAAAGTAACGTTACAAAATTTGGCTCTATTACAACTCACAAGGTTCACTGACAAAACAACTGTCTTATACTAAACATATTTTCCAAACAAATACAACATGCTAATATTTTTAGCACAAGCCTATGGCATTTTACATTGTATAAATTAGCCTAGCGGCTAGCAGACTTTTCCTCTACTCATATGAAGCCAGGATAAATTACACACAAGACTTAAAATTCTTTTTGTGGAGGCTTTATTGTCTTCACACAAAGTAAATAAAAGCTTCGTGTCCACTGAGGGAAATGGTTTCAGCTTACAAAAACAAACAGGTCATTGCCTCGACGTGTAGTTACATTTCTGGGGAACTGCACGTTACGGCATAGGGTACAGCGTAGGGTACGGTGTAGACACAGAGCCTACACTGTAGGTACGGCATTGATTCCATGCATAAGTATAAATCCCGCTTTAGCAGTAGGTCTGGGAGTCATTTAAAACATTATGAAACCAGAACCAATATCAGTTCCCTTAAAGTGATACCAGTACCAAGAGAATATTTAATTTGATACCTTTTTTTTCTGCTTCACTCGATAACCAACGTGTGAGACATTCAGTTGTATAAAATGTCACCTACACTTATTTTGGGACATCTCGGCAAGCTGAATTGCAAACTCCATCAAATACACCGTGCTTTACGTCACCCCACCGCAAACTGTATGGGTTGGAGCTGCTGTGGTAGTGGGCCAGTCACACAATGCAACCAGCTGTTTCTGCTGTTGACATCTTCCAGGATATTCTCCCAACAACATAATAATGGTCGCAGCTAAAAAAAAGAAAAAAAAAACTGCTCATGACCTAAAAACAATGTAACATAATGGGATTTTGATGTTGTCTGTGGTCGTGTTGCTTCAGGAGCAGAGTACCAGGATATGGAGGTGCACCTGCGCAGACAGAAGTCCGGCTTCGGTTTCCGGGTGCTGGGCGGGGATGAGGCGGGGCAGCCTGTGAGTCCGGAGACGCGTGAGAAGGCTCGTATGGCGATGGGCGTGGAACCCTGTCAATTTCTCCTCTCTAACCCACTACACACACACTGTGTACACCTAACCCTGACCTTTGACCCCTGAGAGAGTGCTGGCTCTGGCTGTTTTGGTGTCTTTTGCTGTCTGTTAAAGTAACAAAACAATATTTCAGTCATGTAGTTGAGCTGTTTATGTATCTGTATAACAACCACCTTAACACCCACTGCATGTGACACTACAGACTCTAGCTCAGCATCTAAAGCCACTTCCTTCGCCCTCTACTTCCTGTGTATAACACTCTATGTGCAATAACAGATCTTGATCGGGGCAATCATTGAGAAGAGTCCAGCAGACCTGGATGGACGCTTACGGCCTGGTGATGAGCTGCTGTTTGTGGACGGGATCCCAGTGGTGGGGAAGCCACATAGATACGTCATCGACTTGATGCACGGGGCGGCACGGAATGGCCAGGTGAATCTGGTCATCAGGAGGAGGGTGCCGGCAACAGGTGAGCAAAAGTGTCTGACTTTTAGTTTTGTTTTTGTTCACAATTATCATCAAATTACAAAGATGTTCCCTTTAAAATGAGATATTCTCTATCTAATTTAAAGCTGGGGTAGGCTGTTTTATTCTGGCATCATTGGGCAAAAGTTAAGTTATTCAAGTGGACTAAGAGAACCCTAGATTTCTGCACCTCCTCTTGGCTCTGTTTTCAGGGTTTAGAAAATCTAGCTCATGACGGGAGACTTTGGCCAATCACAGGTCATTTCAGAGAGAGGGCATTCCTATTGGCTGTGCTACAAATGTAAATCAGCATTCACGTCCCTGCGATGAAAGCTTGATTCAGTGGAAGTGAATCCTGCAGAGAAAGTTTCTATTCCAGCATTGGCAACAACTGCCTACACTGCAAAACAACCCAAAAACAGAGGATGGACTTTTCATAGAGAGAGTCTAAAAGAGAGTCTGGCAATAAATGATAATAGTTTAGCCTCTGCTAACCGGAGCTAAAGGCTCACAGCTGCAGCTCCAAGTTCACATTTATGTAGCCAACATTAGCTAGAGCCTTGAATCACATAATCACCTCCACCACCAGGCCACAGTACTTTAAATCCAGCCAGCACAAACCTCAGCTCCCGGGGGAACGCACAGCCCTAACTCTACCCGATCAGAAAACTTTCTGTTGCTGCCATTACACAGGTTAGACCTGGCAATGCCTCTGGCCATTGGCCCAGAGTATCATCCAGCGCTGGGGGGTTTGTGCTGACCCATTCTCAGAACCCATCAGCTGTATTTGGCGTCTGACTTCCGGCAGACGGCGATACAGCCTCTGGGGGCAGACCCCAGATTTTTTGGCATGCCGGTTTGATTTGGGCGGAGGAGGCGAATTTCCATTTCCGACTTCCTTTTATATATAAGTAAATATGCTGAACCATTGCGATGGATTCAGAGTTTGCAGTGACGCCAATTATGTTCCGCCTCGTTAGTTCACCGCACGGACCGTTTAACCTGGCAACAACTGCAGCCGGCTCAAACGTGATTGGTCAATATCACACGGACTACAAACAGCCTACAACCGGAGACCAGGGCTCTTCCGCTGTTCTTCCGGAGGCAAGATCTCCGGGGTTTGCCTACAGACTCTACATTCACTGAATGTAGAGTCTGTATATAGAGACTAGTACTGACCAAATTCAAGCTGCTACAGTCGCCAACCGAAGGTCCATCTTGGACCTGCTGCTGCCCACTTTCCTCCTGGGGAACCAGTCCACAGTGGCAGGGAGTGAGGCAGAGGGACTGGGGGGTGATTAGCAGCAATGCCCGCGAAACTCCCCTCCGCCATAATATTTCAGTCCAGAATTTGTCTTGAGTACATAAAAAAGTTGACCTTTTGCAGTGGATTTCTGAGAGACCAAATGACAGTGTGCTAGCTAAGCTAACAGGCTGCTAACTAGCTAACAGGCTATTTCCTTCAGTTCAGTTGCCTGTGTTGCTTGTCAAGTGAGTTTGTATGATATAAAATAACTTGTTTATCTAGTTTTAACACATTGTGAATCTGAGTAATGTTATTCTGCTAAAATATGGTTATACAGTCAGATTATCATTATGATTCTAATTAAATATTTCACAAAACATGCCACGTACCTGGTAGGTCCTGTTTCTGTCCCAGTAATGTTCCAAGCGCACGTTCCAAACTATATATCCATCTGTAATGAAATGCACTTCCTTGCGTTGGACACTAGAGGCATCATCCTTATATTTACGGATCTATGGACACCAGTCACATACGTAAGTGGAAACAAGGCATTAGATTTGATAAGATGTGTAGAAAGGCTGGATTATTAGAAACTGTGATGAATTTATTGGTTGGATTATTTAGTTACACCTCACAGTGAATCATAGCGTTCGACTGATGCACCTCCATGAAGCACTCCTCCAGTACATTTGGAGATACTGAGATATATTTATACCCCTATACGATAAGACCTGTGATACTGTACTGTCAACAAATCCTATTTTTGGTGGACTTTTAAAGGACACAGTTAATCCTGCAGAGAACAGCTTTAGGATCCTAAAGTAAATTGATCTCCCAGGCTTACTCCTTCACATCTCCATCCTCTATTTCATTGAATTCCTCCCTCCTCTTTGTTTCTCTCCTTCTCTGTGCACCACCACCATTCTCGTCCCGTAACGATTCAAAAAACAGCGTTTAATCAGTCAGAGAACTGAAGCACTAATCTCTCTCTGAGTAATTACACCGAAGCCTCCCAAAAAAACACATTAGCACACTCTTGTTCTCACACACACACACACACACACACCAATGCTCTCTGCTCCTCATTCAAGTTTCTTTGCATTTCAGGCCACGGTCTGCAGTGTCACTTCCTCCTGTGAACTCCGGCCTCCCGTGTTCTCATTATTACTGCCTCTCACACATGCACACACGCTCTTCTCACCAATCCTATTCTTCTCACTCTGTTCCGCCCTCTCTGTCAATTTCCTCTCACCAAAGGCTACCGTCTGACTCATGCCTGGCCTCTTCTGCCGCTCTTACTTCCATCCTAATTGTCTGACTCCCACTGGCACTTTGCGAGGTGTCAGACTCCACTCTCTGCTCGGAGCCCGTACTTCTCCCTGCACCCGATGCCCCACATTTCACACTGTTCTCTCTTCTTTTTTTGTGACTATTTTCCTCCTTATAAAATAACTATTTGTGCACTTGTTGGTGTAAGGAAAGACTACATGTGGGTATGTTTTACAGTGACAAATCTCGCTGTAACTCCCTATCAGTGAGCTCAAGTTCCAGTTTAAATTCCCTACTGTTTAACTACTAAAAACCACAGCTCTGCTTCTCGGTGAGCTATCAAAACAACAACAACAACACGGTTTGATTGCTCAGTAAGCCAGGATGCATGCACACACACAAAAAAAGGCAAGAGGTGCAGGGAGCCGCGTTGGCTCCGGCTGGATTGACACGATGCTGCTGCATTTTAATGATGTGTTTTACCACATTGTGACAGTTGCTTTCCTGCTTTGTATCGCTGTTTTGTGTTTGCTTCTTGATTCTTCACAAGGATGAGCTTTAGCTCCAGCTCGTCTAATTTTAGGGTAGGAGGAGGAAAAAAGTACTCCTTTCTTTACAGCTAATTGTTTTTGCACACGCAGTATCATCCTCAGATTCCTCCAAAGCAATCACGGATTGCGTAGTAATTTTACAGCACAAACAGTGTTAGAATCTAAAACAGCCTTCATTTATAAACACAAAGTACACTGATTAACAGATCAAAAGATTTCCTTTGCAAATTGAGATTTTACATCAGAAAACATCATATGTTAATCTTTTAAAATACAAAACACTGTTAAAGATTAAAGCAGCACTGTCATTTATTTAAGCAATATCACACGTGAGGGAGTGATGTTGTACTGTGATATCGTCACGGCTGTGATTCGGTCATAGGCACGAGGCCGACAATCACAGCCGTGACGATATATGAGTATAACATCATGAGCTCGAGTGTGATATTGCTTTTATACAACAGTTGAACAGTTAAATAAGCAAGGCTGATTAAGAAATGTTGAAAAATGAGGACAAAATAGATAATTTAAGCATTTTATTTGTCTTCCGCCAACAAAAATAGTTCCCTCAGGACTCCACTGTCACCGTTGCTATGTAACACAGACATGGTGCGCCAGGCACTTACTCTTTACACACATTTATCTGCACATTTCCATTAATTGTGCAGCCGGTGAAATAAGTCTCTGATGTCTGCATGGTGGACTGTCGCTTCACAGGCACAGCCGACTCTGCCTTCTGATCTGACAGTATGTTGCTTTTCTCCAAGTTATTGAGCTCCGCTGATGAAACACTGACAAACCTGGATGTGTGCCCAGATGGATTCAGCTTCTCCTCTCCCTCATCTTCCTCTGATGACCATTCATAGTTCAATTCAAAACTTATTTTAGGAAATAAATCCATATTTTTGGCTGTTTGACAGTGGATGAATTAATTAGTCTACAACACAACTGCTGACCTAACTGACACTAACCGTCAGTTTTGATTTGATTGTTGATTGCAATCAGCTGTGAGGCGGAGTGATACATACACAGTGAAATAACCGTGATGTTGTACTCCAATATCGTCACGGTTTTACTGTCTCTCGACCAATCAGATTGCAGGGCCAGAACTAACTGTTGTATAAATAACTGTTTAAGACCTAAAGACTTAAGATTCAGCCATTATCTACTCACCCTCATGCCTAGGGAGGTTCTGGTGAAGTTTTAGAGTCCTCACATCCCTTGCGGAGATCGGTGGGGGGAGTGGTTAGCACACCTAATGGCAGATGGCGCCCCAGACTAACGTCCAAGAACACAAAATTGAATCCACAAAATATCTCCAACATGCTCATCCGTAGTGATCCAAGTGTCCTGAAGGCCTGACATAAAAAGTTGTTTCGAAAAACGTCATATGAACTCTGTTTTTAGCCTCACTGTAGCCTGTAGCTCTGACTGTTTCTCTGTGCTCCGCGTTCACGTGTACGCGCTTGCGCGAGACCAGCGGAAGCATGAGCTTTGCTCACCCGTGTTTACATCACGTGACACGTGCACCGCAGGGGGAGACAACAGTAACCACAGAGCTAAAAGATAATTTGCACTACGGTCTTTTAGCAAAGGACAGCCCAACATGTCCGAAGACTTTGAAACTGAGGAGGAACAGCATTTCTTTGATGAGCCGTATTTGTTTGAGCCCGAGTATACGGACGCGGAACTCAGGCTACTGGATGAAGCAGCCGCCACAGCTCATGAGCCTAACCCTCAGCCAGCCGCAGAATACCGGAGTCGAGCACTGGAAACCTGGTGGTGTAGTTGTTTCAAATGCAAAGCAATGCCAACGGATGAGGAAAGTCTTTGCTGCTCAGACTGGGAATTGGCGATGCCTGCACTTGAGAATCTGGACATCAGTACTGACGAGACTGCTGCTCTTCAGAGACCGTGCATCACCGATCACCCTGAGTTTTCAGCACTACTGACCCGTGGTGTTGTGGAGACACTTTTTACTTTACTTTTTACAGTCCTTAAGCACTGCATAAAAAGCAGCAACAGCTGATGTTGAGTCTGGAGTATTGGGCAATCTCCCTTCCCCTTAACGTTGGGAGCTATGGCAACAGAGCCGGCTAGGTACCCTTATCTGGGCAGCTGTACTCCCTCTGCCACAGCTGGGAGACGATTAATGGAGTGCGTTCATAACAAAGGTCAAGTAGCCTGACCTCGACTCCTCTTTTAGGCCATCTGCTGACCTGACTGTTACCTCAAGCATAACTATCATCCATTTCCCATGGTAACCAAGGCTAAAGGCTGTAACACAGCAAAATTCCTTCACACTCGTATCTCAACATTTTATAGAAAAGCTATCAGGAAATCAGACATTTCAGGCCGCAACTATCCCAAAAACAGCCCATGAAATCCCAGAGAGGCTAATTAACCATCCCTCAGATTTCTCTTGTCGCCCTTTGGAGGAGCCCGGACTCTTAGGTTGGGAACCACTGAACTAAACCACCTTACTGTACACAAGGTGCAAAACCAGCTTCAACAGGACAATCTAATTATCTAATAAAAAAAATCACTCACAGCCTTTGCCTTTTGCCTGATGAGTATTTTTACCTTTTGATACACTGAGTACCTTTTGTTAATAACACTTCTGTAACTTTACCTAGACAAGATTTGGATTGAATAACTTCAACCTGTAACAGTCGTTGATGTTGTTGTTGTTGTTGTTGTATTGGTACTTATTTCTTATGGACTGTAAGAAAATAATTGGGATGTGGAGGGGCACTGAACTTTTTGTTTTACTTTTTTAAGAAAGCAAGATCCTCCCCAGGCCTTGTGAACTTGGGGGGAAAAAATCAAGGTATCATTAGTCATGGGTCATTGAAAGTGCTTGAATTTATTTATTTTGTGCAAGAATAGAAATCAAAGTTTTTACTTAATGTTATAAAATATGCTCTGCTTAATTGTTGTCTGCGAGCTTCTGTAAAGCCTGCTAGTTCTCAATATAAAATATTTTCGGCTGTGGCTCCGAGGTAGAGCGGGTCGTCCACTACTTGGAAGATTGGCGGTCGATCAACGGCTCCTCCAATTCGCATGTCGAAGTACACTTGAGCAAGATACTGAACCCCAATGGCTCCCGATGGCTGTTCCATCAGTGTGTGAGTGCATATGAATGGTTACTGAGTAGCAGGCATGTCTGGTAGTCTGGGCCACCAGTGTGTGAATCTGTGTGTGAATGGGTGAATGTGACATGTGGCGTAGAAGCACTTTAGAGTGGTCAGAAGACTAGAAAGGTGTTAGTGCAGTCCATTTATCATTTTAATTGACCTTGATTTGTGTCTCAAACTGTGCCGTGTAGGGTCCCTAAATCTAAGGGACTTTGGTCTGAAAGGTCCTTGAGCAATCCATGAATGTTACATTCAAGAAGCTGTGGGATCCTGTGTTTTCTTTCTACACCAGTTCAAAATGAGTCATCACAAATATAAAGAGTTTAAATGGGAAAAGAAAAGAGTGATTCTGAAATTTAAAAAAAAAAAAAATCCTATTTTGGGATATAACAAGACGCAACTGAAAAATTAACTCAAGGACACGTGATTGGGACTAGGAAATATATCTGAGTAATCTTCAGTGCTATATATAGCTTATATATTGCTTGAGTTTCTTGAAGACGTTCCACTTCCCACTTCTACCAGATTGGTGCGGAGTTGCAGGCTTTAAACTCTGTGTGGGTGTGAATCCCAGCAGAGTCGTTGAGGTCACATGTAAGTCGTTGACCCACCCGGCCATCTTGTGTGTTGTTAGGTTAGATGGGTCCAAGTGTGAATGGGGGTTAAGTCGTCTGGGGAGGGATCCTAAGACTGCATTGTAGGTGGATGATAAGTGGTGTCATAGGCCACCTCCTTGGTTTAACGTTGGTCATCGATGGCTTCTTTCTCGCCTCTTTCAAACTATCTGTCTTCTCTGGCCAAGATGAGAGGCAAAGTGTCTTCAAGTAACTCAAGCATGTCCAGTTGCCTATGATATAGCACTTAAGATTACCATGACCTTGATGACTGACAATCTTCACCAACGTATTCTTGAGTACTTCCTCCACTACCGTCTTCATGTACCTGGTCGCTGAGCTCTCTACCTCCCCCTACAGGTGATTCTTGTCCAGAGAATGGCCGCAGCCCGGGCTCCGTCTCCACGCAACACAGCTCCCCCCGCAGTGACTTCACATATGCCAACAGCACCAGCACGACCCAGGCACCCAACTCCAGCATGGGCAACGCCACTGCCACTTCAGACAGGACGTCGACCCCCAACACTCAACCCAGCGATGTCATCATCAATCGAAAGGAGAGCGAAGGCTTCGGTTTTGTCATCATCAGCTCGCTCAACAGGCCTGAGGCGGCCGCCACCAACAGTGAGTCTTGTGATTGTTTCAGGGGTGTTTTATAGAGTATCAGTCTGCATAGTAAGAGCTGAACCTCTTGTGGAAGCTCTCAGACGCACATTAACGATCAGGTAAAGTCAGCACGGTGTCAAGATATGAGCCAAACTTAAGTATAAGAAGGGGTCATGGCTCAATGAAAAGTGAAGCCCCTCTTATTGTATCTCCTCAATTATACATGCCCTCCCACGGCACGTCAGTCACACACATCTCTGCTATGCTGCCAAGAGCATCAGCGCATCGCCCACACACATGAAAAAAAAAAAAAAACCTGGATGCCTTACGTAAGCCTGGGGTGAATAGCAAAATGAGAGAGACAGAGGCATATTCAGTCAGTCAGAGAGTGAGTGTGGTGTGAGGCACAGACAGGCGTAATCCTCCAATCTGCTGCTGAGCGTGTCTCTTACCTGCAGCGTGTTGCGTTTGAATCCTCCAACAGCTGTGCCCCACAAAATTGGCCGCATCATCGAGGGCAGCCCGGCCGACCGCTGCGGGAAGCTGAAGGTGGGGGACAGGATACTGGCAGTGAACAGCCAGTCCATCGTCAACATGCCGCACGCCGACATCGTTAAGCTGATCAAGGATGCAGGCCTCAGCGTCACCCTGAGGATCATACCGCAGGAAGGTGAGCGAACACATGGACCTGACACTACAACACTTTGGCGAGACTGTGATTTATGACAGTAATTGATTTTTGCTCCATTAAATCAAAGTTGTAATATGACTTTTGCAAAATGGGATTCTTTTTAGATTAACTGTCACTTGTCACATTCATGAGTGGCGCTCTTCTCGTCTGCAAAGTCTCTTCTCGACACTTGTGCATGCAAATGCTGCTGTCTCTCACTGTGGTTACAGTAACACCCATACAAATGACTGTTCCTAAAAATATGGTGTGTCATTTCAGTTTTTTAGTGATTCTTCTTGTGTGCTGCAAGCATGGTCATGTGTCCTTTAACCACCTTAAACAAATAACTGTCCTAAAATGCAAGACTAAGCATGCAAGACCAACTATGACTAAACTGTATGATGATGGTTTGTCTCTTTACCTTTCCCTACTTTTTCGTTGTTTGCTTTCCACACCCTGGACATTTATAACCTCCGTATTTAGAGCTACATTAAGGTACCCTGTAGAGTTTTTGACCATAAATAGCATTATGGAGCTCAAGTGGGTGGTGTGATTTGCACTTTGATGGACATACTGAGAATTATCACCCAATCTGCTGCTCCCCTCGGCGAGTTTCATCTACTGTTGAGCTCTCTGGTTCTTAACTTTACTATTTTTGTTCACTCTCACTGCTCTCATAGCGTCGTTTTTGGCCTCACAAGGCAGCTGTAAAAACCCACTGTACTCTTTCTGCTCAGCACCAAACGGTAGATGATCAAATTTCGTGATAGGCTTATAAAGTTGAGCATTTAGTAGTTGAGTTGGTGGAGACCAAAACTGAGCTTAAAGGAATACTCCGCCCCCCCAAGTGATCATTTATATTTCAGTTACTCATCCTGTTATATGTTGAATTTGTGAAAAAAACTTTATTTTTCTCTCATGCCTCCACTGTGAACGAAGAATCCAAAAGCAGAGAAAACTCTTGATAAACTGAAGTCATAGGGGTCCACGTTTAACAACAGCAAAACTATACCAAAACATCTGTTGCAGTGTAGTATGTTTATCCAGTTGTATGCTCAATACTTTCCAAACAGGGAACTGAAATAAAAGTGAAACTTATCGATGCTCTCTTTAAAACCAGACTCCCTTGACAAAAACAGTAATTTTACCTCACTGAACACAGGAGCTGCTGGTTGACCGCTGCCTCGATAAGTTAGTTAGTTTGAGTTACTTTGTGACTTTTGTCTTTTAACGGGTCAATTTAGACCCACCAAAGTCACACAATAAGTCAAACAAACTAACTGATGGAGGCAGCTGTAGACCAGCAGCTCCTGTGTTCAGTGAGGTAAAATTACTGCTTTTGTCAATGGAGTCTGGCTTTGAAGAGAGCATAGAGTTTTCACTCTCAGCAAAAATATCCCATAACATCTGTTTACAAACTCTCACACACTACTCACTCACTACTTCCCAAACAGACAGACCTTTCTGACAGGAAACCGAACTGAAAGTGAAACTTATCATGCAAGCCAGACTTCACTGACAAAGCAAATCATTTTACCTCGCTGAAAACTGGAGCTGCTTGTCTACCTCTGCCTCGATCAGTTAGTTTGTTTGACTTATTGTGTGAATTTGGTGAATCTGAACTAACTCTTTAAAGCGCCAAAGTCACACAATAACACAAACAAACTAATTGATCAAAGCAGCGGTTGACCGGCAGCTCCTGTGTTCAGCAAGGTAAAATTACTGTTTTTGTCAATGAAGTTTGGCTTTGAAGAGAGCATAGATAAGTTTCACTTTCAGTTCAGTTCCCCGTCGGAAAAGGTTGTTGACTGGTTAAACGAGACTTGAATTATATTGCATGAGTTGCGTGAGTGTTTGTAAACAGATTTTTTTGTATAGATTTGCTGTTGTTAAATACAGTTGCCTATGACTACAATTCATCAAGAATTTTGTCTGTTTTTGGATTCTTCGTTCATCATGTAGGCAAGCGAGAAAAATAAGGTTTTCTTCACAAATTCACTGTAAAACAGGGCGAGTAATTGATATACAAATGACCACTTGGGGGGTGAAGCGTTCCTTTAAGCTCCATTTTGGTCTCTACCAACTCAACTACCAATATCTGGCTCTTTAGTAGTAAAATAAAGTAAGCAAGTAAATTTTCTTCACAAACTCAATGTAACTCAGGGTTAGTAACTGATATACAAATGGTCATGTGGGGAGTAAAGTATTCCTTTTAAAGGGGGGTAAGTAAAATATTGGACTTACATTTAACAGGTTTTCAGAACTGTGACGCCTTCATTTCTGCTGGATGTGGGTTAGGGTTTGCTACCCTATGGGAAACTGTTGACATGTTCACCATACAAGCTCTACGAGGTCATATTACATCAGAGCTGTGTTCACAGGTTTTACACTGCCCCCAAGTGGCAAAAAATTAATCCATGCCTCACAAAATACCTTTACTTGTAAATAAAACTTGAAAGTAAACATCATAATCTCACACTCTGTCCTTCTCTTTGAACCCCAGAGGTCAGTAATCCTCCATCAGCCCCCAGCTCAGAGAAGCAGAGCCCTCTGGCCCAGCAGCACAGCCCGAAGACCCAGCCAAACACTGCTGCCTCGCAGCCAAACCCAGCAGCCACAGAGCCCAACCCTTCTGTCAGCCAGCCCAACCCCATCCCTCACCAGAGCCCTGTGACCCAGCTGCCCGCCCCTCCACCTCAGACCTACACCCACGAGGGCAGGTAGGACACTGCCGAGGAGGCCACAGAGCGCAACGAGTTCTTCTAATGAAAGCTGTTTCATCCCTGTGCTGTTACAGTGTCAAATTTGTAGCTGTCTTCATTTTCTGATGCAGCGAGGCATTTTTATAGACAAGCCCTGTATCTGTCTCTGGGGCAAAACACTGTTCCTCTGAGACTGAATCAGACACTTCCATTCCCTCGTCTCCATTCTCTCTACCTTTCTTTATTCTCTTCATCTATTGTTGTAGTTTCTTCCACTTTTTCCTCCCTTTTCTCTCACTAATGTTGCCTTTTCTACCTCACTGTCTCATCTCCGCTCTTTATTCATCTCTCACTCCCTCTCTTTCCTCCTCAGTTTGTTGTGTAACATCACTTAACTCTTATGGACTGCTAAATTATTTACATAGATTGCGTCTTTATGGAGATCTGTTGAATATTTTACCAAGAACTACAGGGGCCCAAAATCTACAATGTCATTGCATTTCCCCTCTGCTTTACACAGTACCCAGATCTCTTTGTACTCAGCATGACCAGCCTCCCAGAGAACTTGTTTTTATCATAAACATTTTATTTGATGTGTGAGCAAAAACAGTTTAATTTCCTCACTTAAGTCTTGTTTAATGGTTGTCAGTGTGAACCAAAACAAGCAGTCTCTGTGAGCACTCGGTGACCCAGCAGGTTGTCGGAGAGTATTATTTTCACAACACGCTAAGTGCACTGAAACATAACACGAGAAAATGTAGTACATGCAAATATAGTGATGACAGCAATAGAAGTCCTGCTGGAAGTTCTCCCCTCATCCTGATTGGTCTGTTAGTTACAGGTCAGAGGTGAAGGCGAGGCAAGATGTTAAACCAGACATCAGACAGCCGCCGTTTACAGATTACCGACAGCCGCCGGTGGACTACCGGCACCCTCCTGTGGCTGACTACAGGCAGCCGCCCACGTTGGACTACAGGCACCCGCCGCTTCTGGACTACAGACAGCTCGCTACCGACACCAGGCAGTTCGCCATCCCAGACTACCGAATGCCACCTGTTCAAGTAAGGAGAAAAATGTTCTCTCATCTAGAGCTCGAGTGATACTGGATCTTTGAGGATTATACCAATATGTATTTCAGTAAGGAGATAAGGATCCTTTAAAGCTGCAACAATCAATATTTTTACATTAACAGTGGATCAGATGGCTGTCTAATGTGAATGTTGCAGCTTGTAGTGAAGAATTATCACACCACTCTACAGTCACGTTCAGGTCTGCAGAGTTTTAGCGTCTTTCAGCTCATTGTTTTGGTTTTACAGCCTGCAGTTTTACGGCTTTGGTTCATCAACCTAATTTCCAGCAGCAGCAGCAGCAGGCAGCTATCTTTACTACAATATAATCTAAAAATCCTCAACTGCCCAGCACCAAACAGCAGACAGATGAAGTTAGCAACTAGTGCAGTATTTAACAACTTAAAGAAACAGTTCACCCCAAAATCAAAACTAAAGATTTTTCCTGTTTTCTGTGGTGCCTTTTATCAGTCCGGATTGTTTTAGTGTGAGTTGCAGAGTGTTGGAGATATCAGCTGTAGAGATCTCTGCCTTCTCTCCAATATAATGGAACTAGATGTCACTCAGCTTGTGGTGCTCAAAGTGCCAAAAATAAACCTCTGAAAAACTCAACAGCAATGTCTCTTTCCAGAAATCATGACCTGGTTAGTCAAGATAATCCACAAACCTTGTTGTGAGCAGTTTCATGTAGGAACTATTTTCTTTCTACCAAACTACACCTGGCAACCGTATCACTGCGCAGAAGGAAGAGTGCATCTACTCATGGACAAGAGGCCTCCATGGCTGATCTGTAACGTTTGCTTGCTGTTACCCAGCTATGCTAAACCAGGCTCGTGAATCCGCCTCAACTAAGGCTAACAAGCCCATAACTTAGTGCCTCTTCCTGCGTGTTGCATTAGACGTGCAAAATGTGCCTGGACTTCCTTGGGTGAGTGTGACCTCTCCTGTCTGGGGGCATGTGTGGTTGACTCACCACCAGGCTACCGCTCTTGCTCCTTGCTACCAGCTCACTTGGGCCGGACAACTCCGCCATTCCGTTGTCTGGTTGGCCAGCTCGCTTTTCTTCGTGGTTGTTCAGACTGTATATGTGTTCACATGGATAATTTGTGATGGCGTGTCAAACGCTCTTATGTCTTTGGACCTCTTGCCCTCGGTGTCTCCTTCATGGCGTGCTAGTTCAGCTCAAAGGCCTCCCGCCTCCTCAGCAAACAAGGAGAGGTGGAAAGGAGATAAAGAAAGAAGGGAGAGGAGGCAAGGGAAAGACAGGTAGTGAAGATAAAGGATGAGGGAAGGAGATGACAGGATAGAGGGGGAAAGAGAAGACAAGATGCAAGAGGAAGGAGAGGGAAGGAGGAACGAAGAGAGAGCAAGGAAAGGAAAGAAGGCACACAGGGAGAAGAGGAAAGAAAATGATGAAAGGAGATGAGTGGAGGGAGTGACGAGTGAAGGAAGCAAATGACGCATGAAAGGAGGAGATGGCAGGACAGGACGGAAATACCGAGCTGATTTCTTTAGTTTGTACCTTCATAGTTTTTGCGGATATTTGGATTCACTGTATTAATAGCGCTGACACAAGACAACCCCTAATTAGTGTGTATATTATGTTTATTTCTTTACCTTAAATTAGGCTATACTTTTTCTATATGTCTAAATATGTACTTTATGTACTTAAAGCTGACACTGTCTGCCCAAATATATTCTGTATATTCTCTATATGACATTATTTCCTGGCCAACAGGAAGTCAAGGATGGAAACTGAAGCATCAAATACAAAACTTTGTGTTTATAAAACTGTATTTTCAGAGAAAGCCTGACTCACCAGCACTGGTTCATTTCTCCCTGTGGTGCTGTTTGTGTTCGCAGACAAAGTGCACAGCTGACACACACTTTTGGATGCTTTAAAAATATATATTTTAAATGTTTACGCCTTGAGCAGCTCCCTTGTTTACCTTTATACCTCATATATGATAAGGAAAGGTGTGTGTGTGTATATGTAATATGATTCCAAGTTGTGTTTTGTTTACCTTGCATTGCTCCGTTCTTATTGCCTTATTTTTCTGTGCTGAGTCCTGAGACTGTTTTCTGCTGTAATGGCCCGTTTCCTCCTCCAATAACATCGCGTCTAATCACATGTGATCTGTGCTTGTCTCAGCTTTCACAGGACTTCGACTTCTTCACAGTGGAGCTGGAGAAGAGCGTGAAAGGCTTCGGTTTCAGCATCCGCGGAGGGCGGGAGTACAAGATGGACCTGTTCGTCCTACGACTGGCAGAGGACGGACCGGCTATCCGTAACGGGAGGATGAGGGTAGGTGTGATGATGTCATTTCCTTCAAGAAAGCCACAACACCCCCATTTAAAGGTTAAGCTGCTTTCTATCTGCCTGGATTACATGGCAGAAGCTCACTGTAATTGTCTGATGTTATCGAGGCTGCCGCAGCAACTTTTTCAGAGCGGGTTAAGAAATAATCTGTCAAAATAACTCAGAGATGGTTCGTCCTTTTTGTGAGGTTTTTTTTAGAAGTTTGTCTCCTCCCAAGTTCCTAAAACACATCGCTCCTTAGCATTTAGAAACAGATAATATTCAGAAAGATAAAGATAGATAAAACATTTAAGTGGGCCAACTTAAACTGCACTTTGCTGTTTGCATTGCTGCACAATCGCCCCTCTAGCTACAGCTGCTACTGTGCTACTACGGTCAGAGAAGGCAGACATTTTCTGAATTTATAAAGATGTAATAAAAATACTGTGGAACTGAAATAAAGCCATGTGCTGCTATAGCAACATAAATTACAACCTCCACAGTCTCTATTAATCCTGCAGCCGACACGTCACGTTTTTTTTTCGTCTTTACATGTTCTCCAATCTTTACGTCCGGAGCCTATAGCATCGGTCTGCTTTGCATTCTTTATCTGTAATGAACCCTTCAAAGATAATGTGCTTCAAATGCCCCCGGGGGAGATATTACTTTGCCTCCTCGTTGGCGTGGTCGATGGAGTCCAGTGGGGCTAGATGCAGGTGGAAGAGGAGGAGGAGTAAATCCCTCATGAGCTCCACTTCAAGTTAAAATACAAGCTGCTGGAAAGTGATCAGAGGTGGAAGAAGTCTGTTACTTAAAGTTCAGTGGGTTAAAACGACAAATAACAGCTGAATCTGTCACTGTGTTCTGACGGAAGAACATGAGTCAGATAATCTCCTCCTAGTGCTCCTAACAGCATTCGCAAGAATCCAGCGCACCTGAACGAAAGCCACCAATCGGAGCAGAGAGAAGTGAAAGTGAAAGCTAGCCTTTCGCCATCGGTTTTCTCCTGTTAACCTGCCTTTGCTGTGTACGCTGTTGGCAGCGCAGTGTGTGTAAGAGCAGTGATTGACATGTTCTGATTGGTTGTTTTTGGTTAGGTGCAGTGGATTCTTGCAAATGTTATTTTAGGAGCGCTAAAGAGGAGGCAGAGCAGCCAGATTTTTTTCACATATTATCTTTCTCGTGTACTGCTACTACTGTCAAAATATAGTGACAGTTTTTTAGAAATGTTACCCACTGTAGTTTTAAGTAAAAGTTCTGTTACAATGATCTTCCTGTACAAAGTCATGCATTCAGAATTCTACATGAGTGAAAGTGCAAATTATTATAAATTATTATCAGCAAATGTGCTTATAGTATCAGCCAATATCAGCCTTAAAATGAACTGAATCAGAATCGGCCTGCTTTTCTATTATTTTGTGCAATGAATTAAAATTACATATATTGAAGAGTATTATTGTAGAAGAGTATTGTATTTCATGTCTCCATCTGCTGGTGGGCCATCACAATAAGAGTATGCATATATACCATGATGTTAATTCCACAACAGAAGAGACTTGATGATCACTAATAATAGGTGGGGAAAAAATTGGATATACCGATATCAGTATCAGTTATCGGTCAAATAAATTGTTACATATCAGCATATTGGATTACGGCAAAAAATCCAATATGGTGCATCCCTTATTAGAAGTAAAATGACCTATACTAAAGAAAAATGGCTGCGGTGACTGATTTATTTTTATTTATTTATTTTTTTTGTTAATAATCATGTATTTATGTGTCAGTAGTATTTTACAGTTGCAGCTGATCAAGGGTGGAGCTAGTTGTAACAGCTTTATAGTGTCCATTTAGGTATTTTAGTCCAGTTTGTCCGAGCCAAGGGGTCGGGTCACACAACTTTGAGGGCATGTGAACGAGGGTTGGAAAGAAGAAGAAAAAAAGGTTTCATGCACAAATGTGTCTTCTCTATTTTTTGTTTTTATAAGTGCTGGCTAATTTTACCTCATTGGGTCTTTAACTGTTTGGATTCACAAAGGACGGTTTTAGATAGATAACTTAATTGTCCACCTCAGTGGAAATATGTCTTTGGCTTCTCTAAAAAAAAAATCAATGGTACATGCAGACACATTACACAATGCACCATTAAAAACAACAATATATATGATACAATTGTGCAAATAGGCAGGTAGGACCAATAAATTAAGTACATAGTAAAAGAGAGCACATTTTATAAAAATAGCAGTGTTCCCTGATACAGTCATTCTGTGTTAATTGCCTGTATGGCATAGGGAATAAAGGACTTCTTATATGTTTTCTAACTGGCTCTAGGGACCCTAAATCAACACCCAGATGGGGCTAACACAGTCTATGATGCTCATAGACTATAACGCTATAAGGCATTATAAACATACTGATAATCTGTTTATAGTACTGTATCATTCTAGTTCTAAACACTTAAACTTATTCATAACCCTTCATAATAAAACTCGTAACACTTTTTAACACATTTTACAATGACTTATAAAGTCAAGTATCATAATTTTTAATAATTGCCGGTCACTCACTGGTATTTTATGTCATCACCATAATATATTATAATTTTAGTTGTAAAACTTTATAATCACTGTTATAATGCATTATAATGTGATTATCAGTTACTCTCAGTGGTCACTGGGTGCTTCAAGTGAGGTAATGAAATTCCTGAGGTACAGGCTGATATAATACTTTACAAGCTAAGAGGTCGTTTTACGACTTACTGTAGAGGCAACCAGGACGACTATAACTTCCATGTCAGCCTACAGAAACACATTCCTCCTGCAGCACTCTTGTATAAAGTATCATAATACCTGACCTTATAAGTCATGGAATGCTTTATAATGTGTTATGATTATTGTTATAAAGCATTATGAAAACATATGGATGCTTAGAATTAAGATTATACAGCGTTATAAGCCTGGAACACAATGCACCCCGCCCCAGTGTCAGACCCTGTGGGTGGTGGGCCCACAGGGTGGCAGCTCCATGTCATTCAATCAGGCTGAGCTGGCAAGCTCCCCCTCCTCAGGTCTGGCTCCAGAGCGGGCCACCGATGTCATCAAAAGGAACTTTCTTCCTGAATGAGCTGTTTCATCAAGGTCTTCTTGAAGCGCTCTTAGTCTGGCCCCTCCCCTGGGACCACTTTGCCTTGGGAGACCTTACCAGGGGCTATTTGCCCTGAGAAACACAGCTCCCAGGATCACGGGACGGGCAAACCACTCCACCACGTTAAGGTGGCGATTCTTGGATCTTGATACTTGGATGGATGTTATAAGCAGATTATAAGTATGTTTATAATGAATCACAGACATGAGCGTCACAGAAAGTGTTACCTGTGTTTCTTATAAAATCTTAATCTGAAAAGTAACCACTAACTACAGCTGCTTCATAAACCCAGTGAAGTATAAAGTACAATATTTCCCTCTGAAATGTAGCAGTATAAATACTAAAGTAACACACAAGTTATTCTTCCTCCACTGACGCTGATTTGTCGCGGCTGAGCGGCCAGACAGTAACACTGCTGGTAGGATACTGAAATCAACTCGACGCTGTGCCGTTGAATAGATTCCAGAGAACAAGGTGCAGAGAACGCTTTGATCCATCTTCCAACAATCCTTGATCCATACTGCCGAATGCAGAGAGGAATCAATCTGCATTTAACTTAAGTAAATGTGAGAAATTGCTTGAAAAGCGTTTGACACGCCTGTCACTTTGGATTTGAGTGGTGCTCTGACACGTTTTAAGGTGCAGGAACCAAAAGCTCACTTGCACTGTGACTCCCTGCCGTCTCGCTGACATTTTGAGTTTAATCCAAGTCATTTTTCCTCAACAGGCACTTTGTCACATCTTTAAGAGGGGAAAGCGTATTGGCGTTGACCCTGCTAGTCACAAACTAATCAGTAAGAGGCATTAACAAATTCTAACAAGCTTTCTCAGCTTCAAGTGGCAGTGCCGAGGCTTTTAAGAAAATTGTACAGAGTGATTGGTTATTACGGATAATCATTTAGCACATTTAATTACCTCCCTGAGCTTCAATAAAAGACATGGGCTTGGGCTGTGATAGAAGCAACTCCTGCTTCATTTCCACCTCACACTCCCTGTGCTCGGCATTCACGTGCCGCCCATTCAACTTCAGCTCCCTCTTTATTAAAGATGAAAATGGAGATCACTCTCCCTGCTGTTAGGAGGTGAGGATTAATGATCGAACCGTCTTGCCTTCCACCTCTCTTCAGACCACTGTAATGACACCTAATGACTCCCCCTCTCTTGACTCGAGTCCGCTCCTGACTTTGAAATTACCCCGGCCATTACTGGAGGACTTCTCCATTTGTTAGCATAATTGGCCGGCGTGTTTTGCCCTGTTCCCCGTGAATCCTCCCCATTAGTCAACCTCAGAGCCATCTCTTGACGGGCTGAGGGTCTTGAAGGAGGGAGAGGACTGACATTTGACCCCTCCACGTGGTCACAGGAAGGAAAGATGGTCCAGTTAATATTTACATTGGCTGTTAAGTGAGCTGCTGCGGTTACAGGGGTTTAAATGGGCAGGTAATTGGTATTCATCATGGTTTCCTAACAGCAGCCCCATTAGATGGGGTCCGCCATAATTCCATCAAAATTTCATGTTGAAATTACAGCTGAAATTAATGATAAGTGACACCAGTTCATGGCTGGTAACGCTTATTAACACTCACAGAGGCTCATAGGAAAGCCAGTGAATTATAGATCCATAGTGATCCTTATGAGCTGGTTAATAATTAGTTTTACTGTATATCTAGTGTGATCATTTGCAAACCTGCCACAACTTAACTGACAAGTCTCAGCATGTATGCAACACCTTTATTATTCTGTTCACCTATTTTCACCTTTGTGGTTGCTAGGTTTATCAAACAATATGTATTTTTAATGCATGCACAGATTTTGGGCTGATACCGATAAAATAACAATTTTGCCAAAAACTGATGGTTTCTGTTGTTGTATATTTTGTTTTTGTCATTATTTATTCCCCCTTTCCCTGCCAGGGAAACAAAGAAATCTTCGTTATGAAAAATCCCTGAACTGTGTTGAAGTCATTCAGCCCTGCATTACATCATCTTTGAATGAGCACAAATTCAATCACACACATTCATGAAACAACCTCTATTATAACCTTCATAACCTGCTTTAAAAGCCTTTTTACGGTTTTATAATGTATCATAATTCCCTCTCTAATATCTCTTTTATGGTGCTGTGAAAACAAACACATTTTTCCCCCAAGCAACTGTATTTATTTTGAACGGCACAAATAGCACAAATCTCTCTGATAATTTCCAATCATTGTTCTATGGTAGGCGACTCAGTCTTGTACCAATTCCTTGTTATTATCGTCTTGCTTGTGATCAATAATATCTTGACCAAATATCTATCATAATCCATGACACAATCATTTGTATTTCCAAGGATTTTAGGTTTTGCATACTCCAGGATTGCTTTGTCAGTCAGTATTTTAAGGTTCTTAACAAGCTTCATTCTAGAAATTGTAATTGCACAGAATAGATTTGATCTTAATTATGTCCCAAAAGTGAAATGGTGTAAGACTTTCAATTTGAAGAACTGTGTTTAGTTCTTTTTATACACTCATGGAAAAACCACCCCAGACCAGGAGCAGAAAGCATCCACATAGATAAGATAAGATAAGATAAGACATCTCAAGGTACAAATATGTCCAAAATGTAAAGAAAACTAGAGGGAAAAGAAAGAAACTGATCAGAAAAAACAAGTTTGACATGTGTAGCAAAAAAACAAACAAAAATACAGGCGTCTCAGGGTGCTTTCACACCTGCCCTGTTTGGTTCGGTTCAATCTAGTCTCTATATACAGACTCTACATTCAGTGAATGTAGAGTCTGTAGGCAAACCCTGGAGATCTTGCTTCCGGAAGAAGAGCGGAAGATCCCTGGTTTCCGGTTGTAGGCTGTTTGTAGTCCGCCTGATAGTGATCAATTACGTTTGAGCCGGCTGCAGTTGTTGCCAGGTTAAACAGTCCGTGCGGTGAACTAATGAGGCGGAATATAATTGGCGTCACTGCAAACTCTGAATCCATCGCAATGGTTCAGCATATTTACTTGTATATAAACAGAAGTCAGAAACGGAAATTCGCCTCCTCCGCCCAAATCAAACCAGAATGCCAAAAAATCAGGGGTCTGCCCCCAGAGGCTGTATCGCTGTCTGCCGGAAGTCAGACGCCGAATACAGCTGATGGGTTCTGAGAATGGGTTCAATCAAACTCAAGTTCATTTGCCCCCTAAGTGCAGTTCGTTCGGGCAGGTGTGACTACAGCAATCACACTCGGGTGCACACCAAAACAACCGAACTGAGACCTTGAAGAGGTGGTCTCGGTCCGGTTACAAACAAACTCTGGTGCGGTTCGTTTGTGGTGAGAACGTGTTCTGACCTCGATCCGAACTGCGGTCACATGACACATTGTTTGGGTTAAACATGAGCATGGACCAAAGCAAGACAACTCTAGGTCTGAAGGCACCCTTAGTTTATTTAAGCATGTGTTGGACGGACTCCCTGTAGAGGTATGAGCTCATAGTTCCAGGCCAGGTAGACTACTCACACAGTTTATTAATGGGTCCCAGGTTCTGTAAAATCTCTAAATGGATTTGTTGAAGGTGCATCTGTTTTTCCAGCTTAATGTTCTGCATCACATCTTTGACCCATTAGCTGTGTGATGGAGGGGTTACAGCCTTACATTTAAATCAAATTGAGTGCCGAGCTAATAGAGAGGAAAAGGTAATGACCCTCTGTAAGTGAGCAGGGAGATTGGAGTCATCTGGGACTGAGAAAATACCAAAAATAGCAATTGTAGGAGAAGGTATAATATTACAGCCAGAAGTCTCGGAAAGGGTGTCAAAGAAGGAGGATGACCAGAAAGGGCCAAGTTTTGGGCAAGACATGTCTGTGACAGGTCTGTTCACACCTGTCACATATAGGTCGTTGATTTAGGAATATTCTCGCAATTTCACAACTTCTTTCATTCTGTGTCACTCGCTTCCTGTCATCCAGGTTGGGGACCAGATTATTGAGATCAATGGAGAAAGTACCCGGGACATGACGCACGCCAGGGCCATCGAGCTGATCAAGTCTGGAGGCAGGCGCGTTCGTCTTCTTCTAAAGAGGGGTACGGGGCAGGTCCCAGAGTACGGTAAGTATCCAAACTTTCATCCACAGCAGCTTCTATGTCTTCAGAATCATATCTTACCTCTCTTTTAACTCATGAATTGTACTTTCTTCACTGTCTTAATATCACTTTAACTCGTGGTAACATTATTCCAGCATGTATCTATATTCATGTTATATCTTCTGTCTTTATATACTCTGTACTTCTCTGTATTTCACTTTAATGTTAAAAAACAAACTAATAATTTGTCTCTTCTGTCTTGACTAACATTAGTTTATCTTCTGTCCATTTCAGTGACCTATCACTAATTGATTGGTCTAGGTTGTTACTTCCCCTTCTATAGGAATGGTATCTTCCAGTCTCTCCATGTGCATGAAAAGTGACAAGCATGGCTCCCCCTATTTCTTCCTAATGGGCCACTCTAAAGACACGGTTTGTGACCATACGAATGTTTTTTCTCTTCATGTAACCCTGGCTTTCTGTGCTGTGGTTTTGTGTGTTGTGTTGCTGTAACCACTTACTCAGGATTTTACCTTCTTCCTTAAAGGGATAGGTAAGACTTTCTGAAGTGGGGTTGTGTGAGGTACTTATCTAACGTCAGTGTATTACCTACAGTGGATGGCAGTTGCCCCCAGTTTGGAGAAGCAGGCAGGAATACTGACACGGGGGCTAAGCAATGTACTGCTGTGGACGGGGGCAACAGCACAGCATATTTTAGCCACCTGAAACAATCAGTATCGGTTGAAGTGTATAGAGCTATATTTACAGGGTTTCTACATCTTAGGGCAAGTTAGATTTAAGACATTTAAAATGCTACTTACAAGTGCAAAGCTTTGATTGGTTGTGACTTATTTATTAACAAATTTGGCTGTTAATCAAGACTCTGCAGCACAGCTAAATCTGACACAAGTGCAAAAACTTCAGTGCAACATTATGCAGATTCATCAGTTAAGACTTGGTGTTACAATCCCTGGAGTTTCAGCACGCTTCGTGCCATAGCATAGGCATTTCGGCCGTGACCACCCGGCAGAGCCACCCTCCAACACATCATCAGTTGTGCGCCTCAACATCAACGGGTGTTTCGGCCTTTATCACAAGACACCCTCCGCTGAGGCAGGCCCACCACAGGCTGATCAGGCCTGGGTGTGTCTAGACTCACAAGTCAGTCTTTAGACGCTTTGCTTAACTAAAGACTGATGTCTTTCTCCCTGATTTTGTGTTTAGATGGGCGGATACAATTTCAGAGTTTAAAAAAACTCCCTACGTTCCAGAACCAATAGTAAATCTGCAGGGCGGTCCTTCGGTGGCTCGTTGAACTCTTGTGCTCGTTAACATAGTCCCACTAGAAACACGTGTAGCGGTACAAAATGGCTCAGCTGCGCTCGCAGAAAACGCCGTCAAAGTTAGTGGATGTTTGTCACGTTTGCGGCGACACATTCTCACCAACTAAAAGAAACAAACATAATCTTTTACAAGGCCATGACTCATCCGTCCGGCCGGACTATAACGTTAGAGGGATTCGCCTTGTTGTTTACAAATACTTTCGGGTAGAAAACCAGCAGAGCTTTTAGCTATATATATATATATATATATATATATATATATA